AACCGCGGTCCCTGTGCTTTGCCAAGCTTGTTTCAAGTAGGTGCTTTAGACCACTGAGCCATCTCTCCAGCCCTCAATGTATAATTCAAGTTATCAGAAATGTTTTCTTTTTTCACAATTGAGAGCCACGTGGTTGGACTAATCTTTTTATCTGTAAAGTCTACTTTTAAAACAATACCTCCTTCTCCACTGGAAGGGACCTGGATGCCTGGGTCATGAGAGACAGGTGTTCTTAGTCTTGCATTCTACTGAGCTAAGTTTCCAGGTCTTTAGTTTTTATTTTGAGACAGCATCTCCTAAGCTGGCCCATCTCTTCTCTGGGATCACAGTCATGCACCATGCTGGAAGAAGAAATTTGAAACAGAGTAAAAGCCAGAAAAATTTCGTGAGGAGAGGGCAGTACTTCCCCCAGAATTTTAGGAAATGCATGTGACCTCTAGCATCAGGACAGTGTTGATCCAGGCTCAGATAAAGAGCAGCTAATATTTAGAGGAGTTCTGGACTGAAATATAAGCTTTGTGGAACATTTACCTACATTTATCGTTCTCAGACTAAAACAACAAGCTGCTTGCCCTCAACTAAACTACTAGCCACCTGCATTAACTCAAGGGAGATCACCTATTGCTTAGTACATAGTGCTGGTTAGGTTAAACTATAAAGCCTGAAGTTCTCAAGGAGAAAACAGTAATAACAAGAGGAGCTGTTGGTGGATGAATATCAAGAACAATTGCTTTGATGTTTCTCTGTATTTTTAAAAATAACTTAGTGTTTCAGGAAATAGACTCTTTAGTTGGCTGTTCTTTTCTAGCTTTGTGTGACTCGGCTACTGGATACCAAAAATCCATCCCTGGACACGATTAAGATGCAAGTTTACTTTGATATGAATTATACAAGTCGAGGTAACATATTTCCTACCCATTTTGATACTTTCAAAAAAAGTTTTTGTTTGTATTTCAGATAAAGGTATTTGACAAGAACTATTTGTTTAATGAAATTAACGTTTGTCCATCTTTTAAAATGTTTTCCAGCTTCGATATGTCAGGCAGTTTTCCGTTATTATAGCAAATACCCGAGATAATACATACAGGATGAGTTTATTTGGGCACAGTTTTAGAGGTTCATTCCATGATAGGTCGGCCTGTAGCTTTGGGCACGTGGTGGCATCATGACGAGAGGATGTGGTGGAGCAAAACCAGCCCCCCATGCCTGGGACACTAGAGAGGACACTCTAGTGCTCCACCGTCCCCACAGAGGGCCTGCCCGCAGTGGCCCAAGGATCTTCCCCTGTGCCCTACCTCTTCTGGCTAACCACCAGCCAAAAGTGCAGGCTGGGGACAAAACTTTTAACATATAGACCTTTTGGGGATTCTTATCAAACTATAGTATTAGAAAAATATAATAATTTGGGAAATGCTTCCTGTGAAAACTACCAGTAGCTTTTGTGAATGTTCAAAAGTAATTTAAATTTTTATGCTCATAAAAATGTCTCCAACTTGGCTGTTTTTCAACTTTTAAAAAAAATGTTTTTCCCATAATTTTATTGACAGACAAATAGCAGTGCAACAGTTTCAAATCAAATTGGTAGGACAGTTTCAATAATTAACACATTGCATACTGTCTTCCTAGTGGTTATTTGCTGTACAAGATGCAGACATGATATCCTATTTACAAACACTATTACAACAAATTCCTCTATTCATTAAGAGAATGTAACTATATATTTATCCTAACCATTTTGAATACACAGATACAAAACGGACATTCATCTGTATCCCCTTTTTTGTTCAGTTCCATTATTTGAATATTATAGATGTGTTAACTCAGCAAAATATTCTAAAAGAGTCCAGTAATCTATAATAGTATTGGGTCTTCCGCTTCACTGGCAATGTCAGAAATTATTGACCTGAGTCCCCTACAGCTCAACATAACAACATAGCTTTACTTCTTGTACTTCATTTTTATACTTTTCTGCTGGATGATTAAGACCAAAATAAAGCAGGACCTATGCAACAAGAGTTGTAGCTTTTGGATCTGATAAGGTCAGTCAGATCCCCTCAGGATTTTATCCTGAGATCCTGTACCTCAGATTGTAGATCCTTTGTCAGTGTCAGCCATGTGGATGAGTCATGGCCATTGCTTGGCCAATGTGCTCTCTGTGA